CACTATCATTTCATTTCAGGTTTATTGTTGCTTAATATAATTGTTATTTTCAACTATTCTTTTTTAATTATTCTTTTTTACTTGTTTCAGGGATTTCAAATCATTTTATATAGTAGACAATGGAAGTCCGAACTAGTGAAATTCATCACGAAACATTGTCAATCACCTTCAAACAAACGTTGAAGTATACTCCTTAAAACGGACGAAACTTTTGCAACAACCTAAAACTTGCTTTGAGAATTTTTACATCTCCTCCATGCTTGTTTTATTTTCAAGAGTTAGGGAATTAATGGTAGTCGGGCCTAGGATGAAGGTTAATCTTTGTTATTCAATAAGGATATCGAAAATATGCTACTTTTTTGATGAAGTAAACGACGAAAAATTCAGATAGGGAAGTGACTGGGTAATTTATTAAATACAAATCAAGCTATATGGCCAAATATCATTTTATTTCAATGAATATGAATTGATACATTATTGTAATGCTTATTTTCATTGGGTAATAGATTCCTTGGCAGATTTTCTCGCTTCGATGGCGTCGAATCCATATGTCCTTCCCTTTAGAACATGATGAAGTTCTGAAATGAATATGTATATAAATGTTTGTCATATAGGTTCATAGGAGCGATTTTTGGGTCCATACCGTTTTCAAAAGACAGTAAAGATTATGTGAGCCAAACTCAGTGGAAAACGCCAATCAGGTGATCAAAATATTTGCATCGGAAATTCAGATTTTTGAATAAAGTTTAATGGAATTAGGAATGGAAATTGAAATGGAAGTCAAGTATATTGGATTTTCCTATACGAGTATATAAGTAGGTACTTTTCTGCCTTTAATATTCAATATACTAGATACTCATCATGTGCTTTATGTATGTTCACTTAGAGGAATGCTATTGCAGCAGCTATTGAACTTTTTCTATGGCAGAAATAATTTTATGTACGTCTGAACTCACTCATAAATCACTGAGTTCACTTAACATATCCATAACAATATACAACGTACCTCGGCTAATACCACGCTGGGCATTGAATCATATCCGACTGACATATACGCAATATACCTCAGAGAGGTTAGTCTTGCAGATGTTTCTCATTCATTCAGCACCAGAACCATGCTGAAATCAGTCGAGTAGATCACCGACAGACCGGTTTCCAGGTATTACCCTCTATCAGTGCAGGAAGATCCGACCCAAATAGCATAATTTAATGTCCATCGTGATAGTAGCCAGGGAAGTAGTTGTTTTTCGATAGCCATTTATCATAACCTACCGTGTAGGTACGTTGTTTCGAAATATTTATTTTCTAATATGTATGTATCTTTCCTCGGTACAGTTTTCAGAGTTATCGTGATTCATAACAATATATAGAAATATTTTCCTACGTCCATGTGAAAATAACTTTATTGAACTATAGTTGAATTTGTTGAATACTAAATTATAAGATATCTAGAAAATGCATTTAAAAACAATGGCAATAATTACTCTGATTGAAAATTACGAACAAAAACTTAAATGGCTTAAATGTGAATATTTAAAATAAATGATAATATTAAATCATATTTTGGAAGCAGACAAAGTCTTTCCGTTATTAAAAATTTGACTTGGGTTCAAGATAATCAATAATACTTACTTCTGGATCCGCGTCGTAGTAACATTTAACCATTTTATATACTCTTTCGTGGGGTTCAGTTATACCTGAAATACAATGAAATAATGATTCTTATATAAATAGCAGATTCAAAAATATTCCAGTATGAATACGGTCTAAATTCAGAATATATAGTCTAACCTGATCTCTCAGCCTGTTTGGCACAGTCCACATACATTTTCACGCCGTTGGTTATTTTTTTGGGCATAGCCTTTGTCAACTTTTCTATATGCATTGACAAATCAGGGTTCATCTGGAAAAACAATATCAAGTTGAAAAATGATGAAATGAGAGCATATTCTCGCATTTTTGGATTTTGGAGACATGTTTTATGAATATTTTCGATAACTTTAGTCTTTTTTGATGAAGTGTCATATTTGGTTAGATATTTTCCGAAAGTACAGAATATAACAGAGTCTTATAAATAAATATAATGAAATGGAATACAGAGAGATGTCTGGCCTTCTATTTTTTGAAATTATAGTATAGTACTCGACAAAGTCGAAATTTCGGTTTTATAACTTCAAACTTAGGCTTTATGTCGAAATTATTCTGAAATAGACTGTCAGCTTGATTTTGATATTAGCAGTTTTAATTGACTGTTCACCAATTTTTTGTTCTATAAAAATTTGTTCGTACACTTCTGAAGAGGATTGAAATAGTGCTACAAATATGAACAATCTGCAAAGATGACTGATCGTCTTTTCTACTACAATCATCTATGCAGAAATATGTATTGTAATTGTTATATAAACTACAGTTATATAAACTACAGGAAAGTCCTTTAGGCGCTCTAAGATCGATGCCTGTGCGGAAGTAAATTCATTTAAAAAAACGTCCTCAGGAAGTTTATTCCATATGAACTGAGTTCTCCGAACGAAAGACTTCTGAAACAGTGAAGTTCGAGGAGTACTGAGTTGAACCTCAAAACGATGAGCAGTGGAGATATGGGGTCCTGAGATATTTGCATGAATGGGGATTCAGAGGCTATCTGAAGCTTTTCCTACAGCAGTTTCTCAATAACAAGAAATTTAGGACTAGAATTCAAGAAGCTATATCAAAGACTCGTGATATGAAGAACGGTATACCCCAAGGTTCTACTTTGAGTATCACTCTGTTTGCAATTGCCATAAACGGCACAATAGAAGTAGTAGAAGGATCAGTGAAAAAAAGTGCATATGTGGATGATCTGGCTATATTCTCTTCGTATTCAGTCACTTCTGATGCTGATGCTGAGGAGATACTTCAGAACACCATAAATGAGCTTCACAGCAGAGTACACAGTACAGGTCTCAAATCCTCAGCAAGCAAAACAAAGGCGATTCACTGCTGTAGAATGCGAAAACTTCATTATAATCCCAACCTCAACATGAATGGAATACCTATACAGTTTGAAAACAAAATAAAATTCTTGGGGATGATATTTGACTCTAAACTGAATTGGGGAGCTCACATAGAGAATTTGATGGAAAGATGACAGAAACCACTGAATATCATAAAAGCTCTTGCAGGAATCAAATGGGGAGCAGACCATGAAATTCTGATGAATATTTATCGCAGCCTCATTCTCTCTCAAATGGATTATGGTAGTGTAGCATACTCCTCAGCCAGACTAACACGATTGAAAACTTTGAACAAATTTTAAAATAATTCTCTGAGACTGTTAATGGAAAGTTTCAGAACGAGCCCCTCCTCTTGAACTTCGAAGAAAACCTAATCACCCAAATTATGATCTTTCTCAATGACAAAATCTCCATGATTTATTCCTACAAAAATCAACGGCAACCAGACCAACAGGTACACAGACACAACAGAGTAACGTATTATTCCAGATTCAAAAGTTTTCACTCTCGCTCTCCCGGAGTTCCCTCCATGGAAACTAGCTGATATATATTGCATTATTACAGGCAGTGAAATAAAAAAGTCAGAATTGAACTCACAACAACACAAACTGAACTATTACAATAACATCAGTAAATTTTCAAATCACTGCAAAATATATACTGATGGATCAAAGAGCGAGTATGGGATGGGCTGTGCATTCCTTGTAGATGGACACCTCCATAGCTGGTTGATGCACTCAACGACCAGCGTATACACAGCAGAATTATACGCTATATACCAATTTTTACTATTCTGTGAATTTGCACGAAACGAAACTCATTTCCTAATTTGTGCCGACTAGTTGAGTTCCATAAGATCCTCTCAAAATAAATTTACTCTTGTCCCCCTTCTGGCCAGAATAATCCTTTTCTTGCCAGAATTCATATCATGAAGGAAAGCGGTAGAACTGTCAGCTTCATGTGGGTGCCTAGTCATTGTGGCAAAAGGAACAACGAGGATGTGGATAAGGCAGCTAGAATGATTGCTAACTCCAACGAACATGAAGACTTACCACAACTGATCTTCAGAATGGGAAGAAACCAAAAAAACTCGTATGTAAGTCGATGGTTCTCAATTGAACAATTGATGAAGTGAATTTTTCTGTTCAGTTTCATTTTTGTAATACACTGTTTGGAACCTTTGGTGTATTAATGGATATTACTGGAGTTTTTCCCAACACCAAACCGTTATTTCAACGCCTCGAAACGTGAAGATCTTCCTCTTGAAGATGATCACTTGGTGATCGAAACACGTGTCGAGGTGTTAAAATAATGGTTTGGTGTTGGGAAAAAACTGCAGTAATATTCAGTTTCATTGTTAAAAATGTTACACAGTGGGATAGAGAATTGAAAGATATTTCAAATAAAGTGACACTAGACTATTATTTCCATTTGAAATTTGTGAGATGTGGGTTGATACGGGGAGGGTGGCTGACAAACGGTTGAATATAAATGTCTAACTTAGGGTGGTTAATTTCAACTAGAATGAACTGTATTATCCACAGTACGAAGTGATTCCATGTACCATAATCAAGCAAAGCCCTTCAAGTACTTGAAAAATGTCGTAGCAAACAGGACAGAAAATAAATGAAAGGTTGAGAAGAGCTGGAATGAAATTCAATGTGTCACAATCAAAACTTTTAAGGAAAAGAGAAATTCATGGACACATGGATTCAGAAAAAAAGCCGCAGACTGGTAAACAACCTGTAGGATGTATGATCAATCTAGTGGGCATTTTGTACTGTTGAATTATTAGAGATTTTTCATATGAGTTACATGCATTTGACTATTTTTGCAATGGTATTATACAGTGATATAAAGTTCTCTAGAAATTGGATAATGAACATGAAATAACGATTGGATTAGATCAGTTTGAGTCTTGTTTTTTTTTTCTTTTTGAATCTACGATGAACTTCATCAAGACATCAATTATTCAGATTATTCAATCGAAAAATATTGTTGTCGATTCAAGCTTACCTCCTCACTAACAATCCATAGGCACAAGACGTATCTCTGAAAAAGAAAAATTGATAATAATTTTGTTTTCATTTAATTCAGTTTCAAAAATATTGAGAGTTTTCATTCAAGCATTTTCAAAAATAGAATATTCTATCATCGTGACGTTTGTATAGTTGGGGTTGAACTATCGATTATACTGTGTACTTATGAAATAATGTCCTGACTATATTTTTTTATCAAAATTTTCTTCTTGTTGTTCTGTGCCTCTTATCAACATTTTCAAGTGGACTTCGACATTTATTTCAAACTTCTTGTTTACTAAAACCGTTCCTTGGTTTCTTTATCCTTTCCAAACTTTTCTGGTGTTTTGTCGTGTACCTAGTGTTTTTGAATTTCTGATTTCTACGGTGTGTAAATCCTATTTATTAAAAAACATTTCATCTCTCAGAATCCAATTTATTCAATTGGTATTGAAATATAAACACGATCTGATAACTTTTATGTTGAAGTTCAAGGATACTTTCCTTCAATTGAATTCTCTAAAATGTAGATCTTTATTTTTAGACTTATGAGAGTATGATTTGGTCGTTGATTGAGAAACTTCTGGAAAAACATTTGTACCTGCATAGTTTTTATTCAATATATCAATGGTTTGTGATGCACTCTTTGGAACCTTTGCTGTTGGAAGGAAGATTAAACTTCCTCTTGAAAATGATTATTTGGAAGATTATTCTTCCTCTTGAAGATGATCAGTTGGTGATTGAAACACGTGTCCAGGATGATCACTTGGGGATTGGAACATGTGCCGAGGTGCTAAAAATAACATTTTGGTGTTGGTTTGGAAGATTATAGTTCCTCTTGAATATGATCATTGGGAAGATTAATCTTCCTCTTGAAAATGATCAATCGGTGATTGAAACACGTCTACAGGATTATCACTTGGTGATTGAAACACGTGCCGAAATCTTAAAAATAACGGTTTGTTGTTGGTTTGGAAGATCAAACTTCCTCTTGAAAATGATCATTTGGCAGATTAATCTTCCTATTGAAGATGATCAATTGGTGATTGAAACACGTGTTCAGAATGATCACTTGGTGATTAAAATACGTGCCGAGGTGTTAAAAATAACGGTTTGATGTTGGTTTGGAAGATTAAACTTCCTCTTGAAGATGATCAATTGGTGATTGAAACACGTGTTCAGGATGATTATTTGGGGTTTGGGACCGGAATTCGATGAAATTTCGAGTTTGAACACGGAATTTAACGCATTTCAGAGTTTGGAATTTGGAACTCATTAAAATCACGAGTTTGAACTCAGAATTCAGTAGACAAAGAGAAACTGTGTTTCTTCATCTTATGACGACGCCAACTTGGATGGTGGAACGCGGGTCGATAAGAGTATTGCATTTTTGGTGATTGGGAAAAATGTTTTTTTGTACTTCATACATAGTTAAGTTGAATGTTATTGTTGCAATTTTTCACTCAATTATTCTTTTTCGTTAATTAACAACTTTTTGCCAGTCAAAGGTTCACATGAACCTCTAAGAAAATACCTCTGCTGGAAAAATTGAAAACAATCAGATATGTTTGAAAAAATGAAAATATGAATGAAACATTGAAAATATTTTTTTACGAAAGAGCTACATCAATGTGATATCATCAAATTTCAAAAAATTCTTTTTTGGAATGTGATGATCTGATAATTTAACTATTTATTTTCACCAGTAAATATCAATATTGATGAACCTTTTTTGAAAAAATCTTCAATTTTACTGAAACAGAAAAATTAAATTTTTTCCTCTAGTTTATTTGTATTTGTATAGACAAAAAATACACTTCATTTGTCCAATAGTAAAAACGAGAATATGAATAACTGTGTATTATTTCGTAACATTTTGTTTTCAATATTTCATTTTATTTTCGAAATGCACAAGAGCAGTGGGAAGAATGTTTGAAAAAATAGTTACTTCATATTGATATTCATTGAAAAAATAGATATTCGAATAAAAAAGACGCGCTCTTGCAATTCAATTTTTCAAACAAATTTTTTCAAAATCATCATTTGAATATCAGACTATCAGATTCACAAGGAAAATTAATTATTCAATATATAATGCATTTGTTAATAAAAACTTCTCAAACAGTTAGAATGAGGAATAAAAAGTAAAAGATGTTTGCTCTCATAAATGAGAAAATGAAACATTCAGAATATAACAAAAATATTTTTTTACCATCTTTTATTATTCATTAATGAAAAGAAAATCTAAGATTTCTATGTGAACTTCCAACTTGAAAATAATTGTCAATCAATAAAAGCATAATTGTGACCATTTTTTCTGGCTATATCATTGCTGTTCATTCAATTTTCATTTTCAAAATTCATGTTTCATATTTCTTTCAGGAGGTGTTTTGCTTTTTAAGAATCTATTACCAAGACATTTTATCTGTTTCAATAAATTGTTCATAACATTCAAATTATCACGATTCAAGTTCAAGTTCAAGAATAAAAACTCTTACTCACTTTGAGTTTTTCATCGTCGGCAAAAACCCCATTTTTCAATCCATCTATTTTATCCTGGGTGACTCCCGTTATTGGAACACATTTGTTGTGTAATTGCCTGGCCACGTTGAGGAAAAAGTCCCCATAATGCTGAAAAAATATTTTGTTGTGAACAGTTTACACGACTGAAAATCTGTCATTGAAATTATATTGTATGTTTCTGAATAAGGAACGTATCCAGAAGTATTTGGAAATATTCGAAAATATTTGGAGAATCATGATTTTATAACTTTTGCGATCAAGTTATACTCAGCCCCAGAGTGTAATACTATTTTTTTTCCCTCAAAATTTTTGTCTAGAATTTTCCTTTATTTTCAGTATTTTAATATTAATATAAGTCACAAAAAGGATTTGAAGCTTTATAACTCCTATTTAGTTATATGCGAGCGCTTTCGACAGCTGGTCGTGCTGTCATCATCTAGGCTCTAGGCTCAACCACATTGAACTATGTTCAAGTTATAGGATCAAAATCTCACCGAGTTTGATCCGTTTGAAGAACCAATTAAAAAATACGGAGACAGAATCAACAATCAAAGTTCGATACCCAGGAACTGAAATGGACGTCTACACCCTGTTTAGTAGTCCAATTTGATAAAACAATTTCATTATTTGCTCGTGTTGTTGAATGCTATATCCGTCCATGGTGATTTGGCAAAACAAACTGAATAAATGACAACTAATTTGGCAGATGTAGCTTCAACAAGATGGCCGTTATCAATTGTCAAAGTTCGGAAGTTTCTGTTGGAAGACCCTATATAACATGAATATCCAATATTCTGTTCGTTTTGAAAAAGTGATACAGAAAATTACCCTATAAATATATAAAAGCTAGTCGATTGATAACTTTGGGTGATAGTAAACTTTCATCAGTACTTGTTTGTCAACAATACAATTCCAATTTTTTTATGCTAATGAAGTTTTTCACAACTGCATTGAGAAATATACTCACCTCATCCCGTAGAAGGCCATACACTGACGAGAAACTAACAACGGCGATAAACAAAATCAGCTTCATTTTGAAACGCTGGAAAGAAATATAGATTTTCATTAGTCGCTTTGATGAATAAGCCTGCTTTTAAAAAGTATCTTCAAAAAATTGGTTAGGTGTTGGAGTTAGAAAAAAAATGTGAAATCCGAGTTAGGCAGCTAGTTTCGAAAAAAAATTATTGAATAATTGTAAAACTTTCAAAAAAAGTCCAAAACAGATACCCTGTGGAATTCCAGATTGTGGATTTCACTGCTTCCACTTGAAAATTCAGGGGTTTCAAATTTAGTGGCGATAAAAGCTAAACGAAATCAATGTTTCAGAACTTATTTTTCGAATTCACTTCCACTGAAGTATCAGCTTTTTTTATCGAGTTTCACTTACAGTTTCGCCTCGTCATGTGTTTCAAACACATGGGACTTTTATTTCCATTCGAAAGTAAATAATTAATAACATGGTATGAGATATCAGTCCTTTCATTATAACACAAATAACCTTTTTGAACTTTTGGAGATGTAATAATTTTTTTCGTCTACATGGTCGTGTTATAAAAATTTAATCAAAACTGATCAATTCAAATCACAGAAAATTGTGATATATGGCAGAAAACTTTGCGATGTTTCGAGTTACAATCTTTTTCAAATATAACAACTAATATATTATGTTTTTTTTTATATATCCATGAAAAGTATGATTGGGAAGTGCTAAGTTTTGGGCTGAATCTTCTTTTGTATTTCTACTTCTTCATTTATATATACAGGGCTATTCAAAGTCGTTTCTGTACATGGGGATCTCGCAAACGATAAGAGATAGAGTGTCGGTTGAATTGTGGCAAAGTTGTGTATTTTAGAGACCTATTCAATGATGTAAAGGAATCGAATAGAGCTCTTTTGGTTCTGGAGATATACAGGAAAAACAAAAAAACCCCAAATTATTTTTTGCCCATGTCTTCTTTATTCGCAGATATATTGGAAATCAGTCCACATTTTACCATTGCCACTTGATGTGGTCTCTCAGAATATATCCATGAATCTTTTATACAGGGTGTTATCTGACTTGGGTCAACCCCCATCTTTGAATTTTTAAATACGGACCTGTATTTTTTTGTAATTTTTGGATCGCAGACGTTCACTTCATACTGAGAAATTAAATTCAATTTTATATTTCGGGATGTTTCGGTAATATTCGATTATAATTGTGTTAATTATTCCCTTTAAAATTACGGCCCTGGAAATTGGTTGGCTGAGTTGAATAAAAACATAATAGCAATGAATTTTACACTTGTCTACCTCATTAACAATATCATTTATATATATTAGGAATGAGAGTGTGTTTTAATAAGCAGGAAAGGAAATGATAGCAATAATAACATCCGAAACGGACACTATAATTGTAATCGAATTGGAGTCATTCCTTTTCGAGACATTTTCAAACTCGGTTTTTCAAAATCCTCAATCTTTGGTCTTCCACATTTTCTATCTCTCTGCCAGCGTAAATCCTATTTTTCAATGTCCCCAATAGAAAGTAATCCAAAATAGTAAGATCTGGTGATCTTGCAGACCATGACCATCTTATTGTCCCATTATTTGTCTCGAAATGGAAGGACCCCAATTCGAACATTTATTGCACAAATAATTTTTTGTGTATGTAAATTAATTACTTCATTTCAATTTTCATTATGATTATAGTGTTCGTTTCAGATGTTATTATTGCTACCATTTTTTTTCTGCTCATCAAAACACATATAATATATTGTTGTTGTAGATATGTTTCAGATAATCATAAAAGGTTTTCTTATTCGAAGTTCATTATAGAAAACGCTCAGAGCAATGGAAAAAATATAAATAGGTACCTAAAAATGTAAAAACACTCTCGACAAACTCCACGGTACATAGGGAGACGTAAAAGTTGCTATTATGTTTTTATTCAACTCAGTCAACCAATTTCCAGGGATGTGATTTAAAAAGGAATAATTCACACAATTATAATCGAATATTACCGAAAAATCCCGAAATATAAAATTTAATTTAATTTCTCAGTATGAAGTGAACGTCTCCGATCCAAAAACTACAACAAAAAATACAGGTCCGTATTTAAAAATTCAAAGATGGGTGTGGCCCAAGTCAGATGACACCCTGTATAAAAAATTCATGGATATATTCTGAGACACCACATCAAGTGCCGATAGCAAAATGTGGACAGATATGTCTGCGAATGAAGAAGATATGGGCAAAAAAATAATTTGGGATTTTTTTGTTTCTCCTGTATATCTCCAGAACCAAAAGAGCTATAATCGATTTCTTTACATCATTGAATAGGTCTCTAAAATACACAACTTTGCCACGATCTAGCCGACACTCTATATCTTATGGTTTACGAGATCCCCATGTACAGAAACGAATTTGAATAGCCCTTTGTAAAAAATGGAGATATCTAAAGGAAGGGATAAAAATTGACATATCACTGAAAAATCTCTGGAAAACATGTATAAGTTGTCTAAAATAAATAACCATTTTCTGTACGAACATTGAATTACATGGAAATCACTAACTTTCTAATCTCAATTTTCATACCAAATATTCGCATAAAATTTAAACAAAGGTGGGCCCCAATGTTTCCGATGAGAATATTTTTAGTATTTCGAACTTAGACTTGTTCATTTTTCGAATAATTGACACCGACGGTTATGAATGTTCCCGAATTCAATAAGTTACTAGTATCTATGACAAGATTTTTTTCTGGAAGGAAATAATTTTTGGAAGATCATACGACTTTCTACCTTTACAATTGTAAATGAAAGCAAAAACATTTTGAAAATACGGTTAAATTTCTTCCAAAGAATTTTTTCATTATTTTTATTTTTTTTCTGCAGGTTTTCCGCTCTGGCGCATGAGAAAGCTAAACTGAGTTCTACGGTTGAAAAATGTGATGAAAATGCCAGAAAGTTTTTCAAATTTATAATCCCTGATCAACCACCAACAAATCTACTATTTTGTTTCTGACTTTACCCTGACAAATAAAACAAATATTTATACCTTTTTTTTTTTAAGATGTACAGTGGTTCACTATTCGAGATCTACTGGCTACTGGATTCACCAGAATGTGTATTTATTTCATTTTCTTCGCGTTATCTTTCGAAGTTGAACTATAAAATCCTCATAAATTGGGATTCCGATAATCAAGTAGTAATTCTGTTTTTATTTACTTTTCGAATACTGAAATAGACATAAAATTTAATTGAATTTAATTACCACATATTATTTACGTTTTGAAATGATCAAATATAGATATTACCGATTTTGTTTCGGAATTATTTAACATCAGTGTAGGTGAGATCCTTGTACCTAGGGACACTTTTCTTCGAACTTCATAATTTGAGCAACAACTGACTTAAAGCATTGATTTTTTAAATACCGTATAATAAAAGATTGTACTTTGGGACACCGATATTTGTACCTTGGGACAAATATCTTCAGGATTTTCATTGAATTTTAAAAAACATAATTCATCGTAATGAGCCGTAAAAATATGACCCATATATGGTTATCTCTCAGATAGAAAAGTGACAACTGAAAAATCAACTCTTAGAGAGCATAAGTAATAAAAGCCTAGTTTTTTTAATAGCGTTTATTTTAATTGAAGGGGTTATATTTTTAGGAGTTATTCATTTTTGGGAAAAACGTTTTTGGCTTTCTACTACTCCATCTTGATCCAAAAAAAGGATGAGGGAATCTTACAAAAAAAGGAAGGAAGTAATCAATTTGAAAATAAGTAACTCTATATATGGATGTGCAGATAATACAAAGTAGTAACTTTTAGACACAAACTGAAAGAAAGTCCTCCTAAAACAGCTACTTTCATATAAACATTGAATTACACGAAAGAAAAAAATTCTTTCGAAATAAATACTTCTATATGAACACTGAATTATACGGAAGACACTTTTCTCTACTCAGTTTGTATTTCAAACATTCGTTGTAAAATAAAAATCAGATATCATTCACATGAGTTCTACTTTGAATGAATGGTACTGAAGAGCCTTAGGGCAAGTGTCTTGAGGCGAAACATCGATGTATACCAGTGAGGATGACAGTGTTCTATGTAAGTGCAATTTGTTATAAGCTTTGTTATAATATTTCTTGAGTGGACCAAAGACAGTTCGATCTAAAGGTTGTAACTTGTGGCTTGTTTGGGGAGGCACTATACAATTTTCTTTAGCCAACTCTATTATTTTTATCGATAGGTGACTCTCGTGATTATCCATGATCAGCAGCATTCTATTGTCTTTACTAGGTCTTACATATTTTATGATATGCTTCAAAAAGTCTTTCTCGGAGTTGGACCATCCACTGAGATTAGCAAGTCCCAGCGTCTCCGGAGGAGCACCATTAGTCATGTGGCTCTTAAAGTGAACTCGCGGGAATACCATGCAAGAGGGTACCCGAATTGCTACGGGCATTAACGCAAGCAATAATTAGGACATTATAACCTCTTTCTGCTGATGTCACAGTTCCCACTTGTTTTGATCCTTTTGGCGCTAAAACTTTCAACGGCGTATGCACGGTAGACAGCCTGAATTCGTCAACATTATAAATGTTCTCACTTGTAAAATTATATTTCATCAGCAAGCCTTTGTATTTTTCAAAAAATTCATTGACATCAACCTTGTTGAAGGCTGTGGCACGGCCAAGACTGGTAGCTTCGGGTTTTCGCAGGCTCAAATTTGGCAGCTTGCTCATTTATATCCCAAGCACTTGGATACGTTTTCTTTAAAGCTACTGCATACTGATAGGCAGTTTCAAGAATTGCTCTTTAGGTATGCCTCAAATTTGGATGCTGTTAAACAATACTCGACTAATTGCTCTTCCTCTTCTTCATTGAAGACTCTCTTCACAGCATTATTAGGTTTATAAATGACAGTTGTAGTTTCGTTTTCTTTATTCAGCTTTACATAACGACCTATTAAAGATTTTGAAACCTTAAACTCTTCGGCAGCTTTTCGGATAGAAGATCGTTTTTCAATCAACTTTTAAACGGCATTTTTAACATTTTCTGCAATTAGTTGGGGTTAAGTAACGTTATTTTTACTCCGAGGCATCTAAAATAACAGTAAAAAGGATAATTATAAGTAAACTACAATAGACTATAGAAAATATCCAATAATTGTACGTAGGGACAGTCCCAAGGTAAAAAAATATTATTGTCCCAAGATACAAATTTCGTTTGTTTTGCAAAAAAGTGTGGTTGAGTTCTTTCAATCGGAAATCCAGTATTTAACTGCTAAATGAGTTATTACAAATATAATTGTCACCTAATTATAGTCATATCAGATTACTTACTTTAAAAATTTTCAGGAAACACAACAATTATTACGCATATGAAAAAAAAGCACGCGAAAAATTTGACCACGCACCGCAATGACGTGACGAGTCAAAATGGCCGACTTTGTGGAGTGCAATCAAATTGTTATTTTAAATGAACGCTAGATGTCGCTTGAGGCAATTCTCGGGCTAAATTTTGTAATGATTATTGAAGTTGTCCCGAGGTACATGGAGTCCCAAGGTACAAGGATCTCCTCTACTCTTATTGATCATCAATCACCCAACGAAGGTAAATTTTCAACAAAATAAATCTACATTTTTCAAAAATTTTGAATTGGAACAACGGTGTGTCGGTGCCAATGCCAAAAAAAACAATAAATTGGCAGTTTTCAAATTCATTATTTCCCTCAATAAACTCATTCAAATCCTACTAGTGGTATGGTGAAAGCATTTTTTAAATAATCTTATGCCTGCCGGAAAACAACCACTTCCCCGGCTAATAGCACGCTGGATATTGAATTATCTCACTAACCCAGAGATACCTCACCTAGTACCTCACCTTGAGATCGGTTTCGAGGTATCACCTCTCATCAGTGCAGGAAAGATTCGACCCAGACAGCAAAGTGCTCGATTAATTTCAACGTTTCGAAATTTCATTTCGACATATTCATTTCCTTGTATTTCTCCTTGATACACTCTTCGGACACATTTTGATTTTAATTCTTCAGGTAATGAATCATAGAGGAGTGGAACCACAGGTATTGAATGTGTATTGCTGAGTGTAATAGGAATATTATTTTCTTAGCCTGTTTAGGTTTCTGAAATGATTCCTGCAAGATGTTATTCTTGAAATGCCAACTGTACTGCAAATAATGCACTTCTGGGCAATAATGTTATGGAAATCATACCCGAAACTTCACCCCCTGCGGTCAGCAACTACCCTCCCTATTTTTTTCAATGGCAAAGGTCGAGTGACACATCATTTTAAGGGTCCTTTGACTGCTTCTGTAATTTTTTTCGAAATTGGTCCATCCGTTATTGAGAAATTGAATGCTGAACGTTTTATTTAAGAAAAAACAGAAGAATATTCGCATTCGCTCATTTAATTGAGGAAATCAACAAAAGTAATATCAATAGCAGCACAATCAATGGATGAAATGTTCAAAATGACCTCTATCTACTTCCATACAATAATACAGTCCACTTTTGAAAGCGTTCCTTACTTTATTGAAGAGTCAGAAATTGGCATTCTCGAACAATTCTCTGTCGCAGGTCTTCTATATTTGTAGAATTTATTTAATTGGTAGTAAACGTTCTGAAATGGACGACACTGTTAGTTTTTCTGCACTGGTAGGTTTTGTTGAATCTAGTTGTCGCAGAACAAAAAGTAGATTTTTGGCCACTGTCACTTCTTCATCAATTATTATTCAGTCATCCTTGTTCACTGTGTTCCAACATTCTATTGAATAAAAAATAGAAATTGTTGCAACCAATTATCGAAATAATCAATGTGCTAAAGCTGCTGCAAGAATTTATATTACGAATCATCTAGACCACAACGTGAGCCATCAATACGTTAAACCGAAGACTTCTTTCCACTCTCATCAAGGACGTCATGAATATATTCAAAAAACTCGCAATTTCATGCTAAGCCCAAATGATAATATCTACATTTTCAGTGTTGCCAAGTTTATATCAAATGTTAGTGAGGTCACGACCATCGTTCTTACCCGATTAAAAAAAAAACTGTCTGAAAAGGAACTCAAAAATAAGAAGAAAGGAAAAAATGTGTAACATGTCATATCGTTATTTTTTACACTGTATGTGATGTATTAGCTACATATTTTTAACAATAACTTTATTTCCATAATTCATTATAACATTTAAATTAACAATTCAAAAATAACTTTTCAAAACGGTCAAAGGAACGAACACATTTCCTTCTTTTCATAAAAGAGGATGTATGCATCTCCACTCACAAGCAATTTTGGTGAAATTGGTGACACGTGTGATTCATTGTATTAGTGCCACGTGCCAGTATAGGGATGTCTGCAGAATGCTGTATAATGTCCGCTTTTAAAAAGACCCAATGCGATTCGAAAGTGCATATAGATTATAACGACACGGAGTCACATTGTCTGCTGCATAATTTATTCATATCTAATCTATCTAGAGGAAATTCGATGGCAACATTTAACTTGCCTCTAAATCTATCTGTTAGAGAGAATCTTTTGAAACGAATTACTAAAAAACGAAGAAACTTATGGATTGATCGAGACTTTGTGCATTTTCTTCTTTCCTTGCAACTCGAACACGTCGGTTTTTCATGTTCATCCAAAGTTTCCTCTATTGTTATTTATAGAATGTTGAATTCACTTGATGACTGTAAATATTGATAGCAGTGAATTTGATCATTCTGAAAATAATGAAGGAATATTTTTCATCAAAAAACACGTTGGCAATAACTAACTGCTAGTTGAAATGCCATTTGTACTTCAGTGTACAGGAAGTGGGTTAATTTCTAATGATACAATTGAAACAGAAGTTTATATCTGAACTCCACATTACCCTCGATTCACAAAACAAGTGAAGAGAGTGAGGTGAATTGATGGGGTATTGACAAAGCGGATTATCAATGGTAAAGAGGTATACTGGACCTTGATGGATCACTGCACTTTGCTGAATGGGCTGAACTAGAGAGTGCTGGGCCTTTATGCGAACTAATGATATCACCCTTTCAAATTAACCTCCTCTTTGTCTCTGATAACCACGATTGGCTTTATACCAAATTTTTGTTGGTATCGTCATTGAACAATAGCT